AAAACCTGTTTTGGGTATGATATCCTTTCAGTACTACATGGACTAAACCAGTCTCTGTCATAAAGAACAAATTAAGTGATAGTGATTTTAGAAATGTGAAAGAAAAATAAATTGCAGGATCCCAATAGCACAAGCCAAAGGGAAAAATCAAACTGGGAACTACTTAGGGCAAACCTCTCTCACATTCTATTCCTATAAAAGATAGCTACTATGATAAAAAAGCTACACAGCTTTCTCACAATTTGTCCACAAGGAAATTCTTTGGGGACAAAGGACACACAGAACTCAAAGTCCTTCCTCTGCTCACTGAGATAAATGCATATCTGATTGCTTCCTTTGGAAAGGCTTACCGGAAACTCAAAAGAATGCAGCCATTTGTCTTTTATCTACCTATGATCTGGAAGCCTTCTTCAGGTCACAGGTAGATAATTGATTGATGTCTCATCTCCCTAAAATGCATAAAACCAAGCTGTGCCCGGACCACCTTGGGCCCATGTTGTCAGGACCTCCTGAGGCTTTTTCATGGGTACATGTCCTTAACCTTGGCAAGATAAACTTTCTAAATTGACTGAGCCCTGTCTCAGATATTCGGGGATCACAGAAATAATATGGTTTTTACATACAAATAATCAAGCAGAAGAAAAAAAATCAGCCTTACGTTGCATCCCTTTCCTGCCCCACCTCTTCAAAACCAAAAGAAAGGAAAATACTTAATGGCATATACAATCCCTTTCTAAGTGCAGATGCATCTCCAAGTCCATTTTGTGAATATTCAATGAGTAGTTGGAAGTCAGATGATATCCATTCCCAGAAATATTCCCCCCAAATTATAAAATCCCTAATTATACTTCTTCTAGACATTTGTACATATTCTTTCCCTCCAAACTGGACACCAATGAACACAAAAACACACACTAAAAACAAAGATTAATCAGTTTTGCCATGCCTGATGATTTTCATCTTTTTCTAACAGAAGTCACACACTGTGACCCAGGATCATTTTTGGCAGTGTGTTTTTTAAAAAGTGTTTTGAATTTGTATGCCCTGAAGTGGTGCGTGTACTTTCCATTCCAACTGTTAGCTACCTGGGCCTTGAAGGTAATTGTGTTTGTTCTCCTAGAAATTATTTCAAGCTTATGAGATTTGTGCTTACAGTTAATACCAAAGCACTTTCATTTTCCATTTTCCACTTAGTTGGTCTTTAAAAAGACTAAGAATGAAATAAAATATTGAAATATTTTTATAAACATGGCTGTTTAGAGATTCAATGCTGAGATCCAGACTTACTACTTGACAGGCAGATGACTGCTGAAAACTCAAATAATTTCTTTTGTCAGCTAGTGTTTAAAAGTCTACATTCAAAATGTTAAGATTGGGTTATCAATATACTGTATAATGAACAAATACAAGCTGTCAGAAGGTAAATTTTTCAAAGTTGAAAACAACCTAGACACTAGCTTAATGGTAATGATTGTCTGGGTTTGAATTTTAGTTCAGTCTTGCTTTTTTGCTTGGAAAAACCTTTGAGTCCCACACTCAGGCCCTCACTATGAGGGAGGGGGCGGGAGAGCACTGCTTTCTTAACCCTACCCTTTAAGAGAAGGTTCAACAGCCACACTTGGTGACCTTGAGACATGTTTCCTCAGTTGAGGGCATGGTGGTCTGGTGCCTGACACTTCCTGAGGAAGTTAAATCAGTTTGGATAGTGTTTCAGTCCGTTTTCACACTGCTATAAAGAACTACCCAAGACTGGGTAATTTATAAAGAAAAGAGGTTTAATTGATTCACAGTTCCACATGACCGGGGAGGCCTCAGGAAACTTACCATCATGACGGAAGGTGAAGGGGAAGCCAGGCACCTCTTACATGGTGGCAGGCAAGAAAGAACATGAAGGAGGAAATGCCACTTTAAAAACCATCAGATCTCACGAGAACTCATTCACTATCATGAGAACAGCATGAGGGAAACTGTTCCCATGGTCCAATCACCTTCCACCATGTCCCTTCCCTGACACGTGGGGATTACAATTTGAGATGAGATTCAGGTGGAGACACAGAGCCAAACCATATCATTTTGCCTCTGTTCCCTCCCACATCTCATGTTCTTCTCACATTTCAAAACATAGTCATGGCTTCCCAGTAGTCCCCAAAAGTCTTAACTCATTCCAGCATTAACCCAAAAGTCTAAGTCCAAAGTCTCATCTGAGACAAGGCTAGTCTCTTCCACCTATATGAGCCTGTAAAATGAAAAGCAATTTAGTTACTTCCAAGACACAGTGGAGGTACAGGGATTGGGTAAACGTTTTCATTCCAAATGAGAGAAATTGGCCAAAACAAAGGGGCCATAGATCTCAAGCAATTTCAAAACCAGGTGGGGCAGTCATTAAATCTTAAAACTCTAAAATTTTTTTGGTTCCATGTCTCACATCCAGGGCACGCTGATGCAAAAGGTGGGCTCCTATGGCCTTGGGGAGCTCTGCCCTGTGGTTTTTTTCCATGTGCCTGGAAAAGTCACAGGCACTCAATGCCAGCCCATGAAAGCATCCAGCTCCCACAGATGCTTTCATAGGCTGGCATTGAGTGCCTGTGGCTTTTTTTAGGCACATGGTGCAAGCTGTTGGTGAAGCTACCATTCTGGAGTCTGGAGCACTATCGCCCTCTTCTCACAACTCCACTAGGCAGTGCCCGAGTGGGGACTCTTGTGTGGGGGCTCCAACGTCACATTTCCCCTCTGCATTGCCCTAGTGGAGGATCTTCATTAGAGTTTCAACCTGCAGCAGACTTCTGCCTAGACATTCAGGCATTTCCTTATAGCCTCTGAAATCTAGGTGGAGGTTTCCAAAGCTCAACTCTTGTCTTTTGTACACCTGTAGGCCTAACACCATGTGGAACCTGCCAAGGCTTGGGGCCGGCACCCTCTCAAGCAACAGCTCAAGCTGTACCTTGGCCTCCTTTAGGAGCTGGAGCTGGAGTGGCTGGGAAGCAGGGCATCAAGTACTAAGCTGTACAGAGGAGCAGGGCCCTGGGCCTGTGATGCCCTGAAGATCTCTGATATGCCCTGGAGACATTTTCCCCATCATTTTAGCTATTAACATTTGGCTCCTTGTTAGTTATGCAAATTTCTCTGGCTGGCTTGAGCTTCTTCCCAGAAAATGGGTTTTTCTTTTCTACCTAATGGTCAGGCTGCAAATTTTTAAACTTTTAGGTTCTGCTTCCCTTTTAAATAAAAGTTTCAGTATCAGATAATCTCTTTGTGAATGCATATAACTGAATGCTTTCAGAATCAGCCAGGTTACGTCTTGAACACTTTGCTGCTTAGAAATGTCTTCTGCCAGATAACCTAAACAATCTCTCTTAAGTTCAAAGTTCCACAGATCTCTAGGGCAGAGGCACAATGCTACCAGTTTTTTTTGCTAAAGCATAACATGAGTGACCTTTACTCCAGTTTCCAATAAGTTTCACATCTCCATCTGAGACCACCTCAGCCTGAACTTTATTGTCCATCTCACTATCAGCATTTTGGTCAAAATCATTCAACAAGTCTCTAGGAAGTTCCACAGTTTCCCATGTCTTCCTGTCTTCTTCTGAGTCCTCCAACTGTTCCACTAACTTCTGCCTGTTGCTCAGTTCCAAAGCTGTTTCCACATATTCAGGTTATCTTTATAGTAGTATACCACTCTGCCAGTGCCAATTCTCTGTATTAGTCTATTCTCACACTCCTATAAAGAGGTACCTGAGACTGGGTAATTTATAAAGAAGAGAGGTTTAATTGACTCACCATTCCACATGGCTGGGGAGGCCTCAGGAAACTTAAAATCATGACGGAAGGTGAAGGCACATCTTACATGGTGGCAGGTGAGAAAGGCAGTGACGGAGGAAGAGCCACTTTAAAAATCATCAGATATTGTGAGAATTCACTCATTGTCATGAGAGCAACATGGAGGGCATCACCCCCTTGATCCAATCATCTCCCATCATGTCCTTCCTTCGACATGTGGAGATTACAATTTGAGATGAGATTTGGGTGGAGACACAGAGCTAAATCATACCTGGTAGCAACTGAGTAGTACCAACTCTCCTGGCCTCTGATTGTAGGATAAAGATATGTGGGTCTGGGGACTAGGTATGTTGATCTTGGACACTATGTAAGAGATTCTGCACATGAGGGTTATTTGCCAAGGCCAAAAGACCCTCAGTTGTAAGTAGCCCTGGGATAAAGCTGAGGTGAGGTCAGGACTGGCCAGTGAAGAGGAGTCAACGTTGGAGAGGCCTAGCAGAGGAACTTCTGAATAAGCCATAGGGAAGGATCAAGTTTGAACATCTGTTAGTACTTCAGGGTACAAAACAAAGAACTTTGCTTCTCCCTTGCCTTTTGTCTGCTGCTACACCACCGCATTCCATACCAAACATGGAGAAGGCTGAAGTGGAGATAAGAAGGAAGGAAAACAGCCAACCATGGCTTTCTAGTTACTGAAGAAGGTAGGTGGCCAACTGCAGTCTGCCATAGCTGGATATAGATGAGGGCACATCTCATTTGTGATTGAAGACTGACAGTTGGCTATTATATTCTCATTTATGAATTGGGACTATGATTATGACTCAATGGGCTGTTAGATTTTGTATTACCTAAGAGAGATGAAAAAAGGTTATGGGGCTGCCCAGGTTTTCTTTCAGAAGCCTAGGAAGGAATAGCTTCCACTAAGTCGATTTGATAGGACATGAGAGACAAAAGTAAAATTGCAATTTGATAGCACCTCACAGATTGTCACTATTCAATATATTTTGTGTGTGTGTATATATGTGTATGTATTCCAAACATATATATATATATATGTATATATATAACAGATATATATGTATGAGATATATATGTTGTATAGCAGTTTCTTAGTTAAATTTACATTTTAAGCCAAAAATTTAATACTTTTAAAGATTAGCTCCACTAAGAACATACAATTAAGATAGTAATTTTAGTAATTGAAAGATAAAATACAACAATACCTTGTTATGATGAAGCCATAAGTATTTTAATTTTTTAAACCTAGAAAGATCAATGACTTCTATCAGTTCCCTGGGAAGAAAAAAAAATGTGAAATTAGCAACAATTAGTTCACTTATAGGTAAGGCTGGGCATGTGGTTGGTAAGGCTGGGCATGTATTTAGTGAGGCTTGGGAGTAACTAGAAAGGCTTCTCTCTTTGTCTTTTCAAAATTATTGGCATACTCACCTGCTTATTTCAGAAACTATCATTATAACTTCATTCATCTGGATTATGGCTTTGTCAGCTAGTTAAAGCTAATACTTAAGGGAGAGCGCTTTATCACATTAGCAAAAATGTACACCTCATTATGACTGAATTTATTGGAATCTTACTTCAAAACAAGTTTTACTGGGGAGAGGACAAAGGAAAAAGTTGAAGGTGATACTGGACTTTCACATAAATGTGGGAAACGTAGCTGGATCCTGCTTCAATATTGTCTGTGGGGTTATTACTGTAGGGCAATAATCCTGAAGTTTTTGGCCAGACTGGACTCAGATGGAAATTGCAGGACACCAAGAGACAGATAGTGTGGGAAATGCTTTATTCTCACTTTATTTATTAATTATGGGATTAATATATTACCCACTTTTCTTGAACTCTATGAAACTCCACCTGACCAAGTGGTCTTGGTTCTTGTTGCTAAGGCAGCTCAGTCATCAAAGGGGCAGAGGAGAGGGCACTGTCTGAAGATAGTTGGTCATTTGATGATGTGGCCTGGAGTAGTTGAATCCCCTGTTTCTCATGGCAGAGATTGTGGAATCCAAGTCTATACATATATGTATCTGTTTATTTATCAAATGCTTCTAGATCACATATTGTGTGCCAGGTACTTTTCAAAGCACAAAAATATCAATATTTATTATTATTACACATATTAATTCATTTATGGTAATATTCTATCGCAATGATTTTTAATCTTGGGACAGATTAGAAGGACTAATATTTTTCTAATTTTTATCAAAACATATATTTTTTTGAAAGCATGCTAACATTTCTAAACAAAATAAATCTTTTGTCACCAACTTTTTATATTGAAAAATGTCAAACCTGAGAAAAGATAAAGGAATAGTATAATGAGCACTTGTGTAACCATCATAATTTTCAACATATTGTCACATGCTCATTCTATCTATCTAGTTTACATATTTATTGGTTGATAATTTTCTTGGTGAATCATTTGAAAATAAAGTTGCAGGCTTATTGCAGATGTCTCAACCTAGGGAGCTTAGCATGCGTATCTCCCATATCAGAGCACTGTCCTGAATAACCATGTCACCATCCTCACACCTAAGAAGATGAAATTGAATTCAGTAATATAATCTAATATGCCATTCATATTCAAAATTTCCCTGTTGATCCTGCATTTCTTTTGGTTTGTTTAAATCTTGTATCTTATCAACATACATGCATTGCATTTTGGGATGGCATAACCTTTTAGTCTTTTTAAAGGTAGGCACTTTCTTTTCTTTTTCTCCCTTAACATCAGCTTTTTGGGCTGGGCGCCATGGCTCATGCTTGTAATCCCAGCACTTTGGGAGGCCAAGGTGGGTGGATCACCTTAGGTCAAGAGTTTGAGACCAGCCTGGCCAACATGTTGAAACACCATCTCTATTAAAACTACAAAAAGTAGACAGGCATGGTGGCATGCACCTGTAATCCCAGCTATTTGGGAGGCTGAGGCAGGAGAATCACTTGAACCCAGGAGATGGAGGTTGCAGTGAGCCAAGATCACGCCATTGCACTCCAGCCTGGGCGACAAGAGCAAAACTCCATCTCAAAACAAAAACAACACAAAAACCAAAAGACATTAGCTTTTTGTAGAGTCCAGTATAATTCTCTGGTAGAATGTCTCACATTATTGATTTTTTAATTATTTCCCAATGATCAAATGCAAGGAAGATCATGTCTAGCTCTCATTTACATGGGTGGTAATTAATGAATCACGTAAGGATGCAAATGGTTTCAGTCTGTCCCACTCTTGAGGAAGCTAAATTCAGTCATTTGGTTAAGATGGTGTCTGCCAGTTCTCTCCACTGTAAAAGTACAAATTTTATAATTGGAAAGTCTTTCATGAGGTGAATATCTGAGATCATGTGTATATCTTGTTCCCTGACAACTCTTTACTCAATAGCTTTAGCTTTCCTTGATGATCCTTACCTGAGCCAATAGATTTGGGATTATAAAATGATTTTTTAATGTTCTTATTCTTTTTACATTTATTAGCTGCTATTCTTCTGTAATGAATATCTGTCTCCTCCTCTTCTTTCTCATTCATTCTCCTTCCCATCTTCCCTGAATTTTCAAGAGTTTTTCTTAATCCTTTATCGCTTAAAACAATTATCAAATTCTCCCTTTATAAAAGACTTTTCAAGCAGAATCTTGTGTCTCTCTAATATGTACCATTGGTTTCTTAGCACTTCTCTGGCACAACAAAATATTTCAGACTCTTCCAAAGCAACTTATTGTTATTATTTTTAGACAGGGTCTGACTCTCTTGCCCAGGCTGGAGTACAGTGGCTCAATCTCAGCTCACTGCAACCTCTACCTCCCAGGTTCAAGTGATCCTCTCACTTCAGCCTCCCAAGTAGCTGGTACCACAGGTACATATCACCACATCTGGATAATTTTTGTAGAGATGGGATTTCACATGTTGGCCAGACAGGTCTCAAACTCCTGGGCTCAGGTGATTCACCTGTCTTGGCCTCCCAAAGAGTTGGGATTACAGGCATAAGGCACCTCGTGTGGCCTCAAAGCAACTTGTAGTCGGAAAGTTGCACAAATAATAATACATTCTCACTGTAGATATGTAGCTTATTTCAGGGAAAGAGTACTTGGACCTTGGGGTACCCTAATATTGCAATGGGCAATAGTGAGAGTATGTTAACTTCATCTGTTCCCACGATAAATAGTAAAGAAGTCATTACATGGCTACATTAGAGTATCTAATGCCCCACTTGGAGGAATTCCCATAAAAGATTTTTATTTTATTTTATTTTTTGAAACTGAGTCTCACTCTGTCACCCAGGCTGGAGTGCAGTGGCATGATCTCAGCTCACTGCAGCCTCCGCCTCCCAGGTTCAAGCAATTCCTGTGCCTCAGCCTCCTGAGTAGCTGGGATTACAGGCATGCACCGCTATGCCCAACTAATTTTTGTATTTTTAGTAGAGACAGGGTTTCACCATGTTGGCCAGGATGGTCTTCAACTCGTGACCTCAAGTGATCCACCTGCTTCAGCCTCCTAAATAGCTAGGATTACAGGAGTGAGCCACTGTGCCCACCCCCAAAGTTATCTTAATACACTAATATGTTAAAGTATTAACTGTGTTGTTACTTTCACTAATTTTTTTGTAGTGGTAATATCAACGTTGAATTGTCATTGATTAGGTAATGTAATAAATTCAGCTTTTTCTTTTTTTAAATTTAATGAAAAAAATTAACAAGCCCACATCTAACATTATGTAAATTCACTTTTCAATGGTACTTTAACTCCTTCTTGTCAGAAGGGTTTATTCTGCACATAAGTGTGTCCTAAATCAATAACGGGCTGTTACACTCTAAGGTGAGGCCAGTCAAATGATAATAAGAGGTAATTCTACTAACGATTACTATGACTCATGCTGACAATAATTTTCAACATCTTGTTGCAATGTACGTTCTCCCTGATTACTCAAGAACACATCAGTAAGATGCTTCCATTTCCCAGAGTCAACAGAAACTTATGCAAATAACCCAGTATACCAGTGTATTGGCATCTGGACTGGGAAATACTTTTTGTCCACAGCTAGATGAAATGGTAACTTAGTATCCTTAAAATGTAAAAGGTGTTGTCCTTCTCACAAGGAGACCATTAATTATCCACTGTCAGGTGGTCAATATCTCAATTTTTCTGGTATTTTAAAGCTATTCTTATTATCTACTATAAGTAGATGATAGTATATCATCTACTATAATGATTAGTAGTATACAATTCTCAAAATCATGGAAGATGCAATCTTTTGACCACATGAAGTATTTATTGTTATTGTAAAACTAACTGGCCTATATTGAGAGGCTCAAAGCATGACCTTAAATATGTCAGAATGCTCTCCCATACCTGTTCCATACTAAAAAATATATTTTTAAACATTTCAAAGTGGTCATCAATTTATTCCTTTACTACCAAGAGATTTAGAGCTATTACAAAGATAAACACTTTTCTCTGTACTGATAAGCATAGATATTTATTTATAATAAAATGAATATAATAATAAAGGATTTCCCAAATCACTAGAAATAAAAGTGATTAAAATCATTGATAAACTAAGGCATTTTCTTTATAAGAAGCTGAACTCCAAAGATTACATATGAGCAAAAATATATCAAACCTATTTAAAAATAATACACAGAATTCAGAGGCATTAAAAAGCACAAAGCAGGGAGACTAGAATGTAGAAATAGGGTAATTGTGCTTAAAATGCAAACTTTAGTGTCACTTATTGGCCAGTGAGAACTGTAGTATCAGAATCTAATCTTATTTATAACTCCCTCTTCCTCTCATACCTGGGTTCTATCTCATTCTACTCTATAGAAAAACCCAATTTGTTGTCTACCGCCTTGGGGAATTTGAGGGGAATCAAAGTAGGTTGTTGATATAAGAGAGGGGTTTTCCTACTTACCAGTAAAATTGGTATGGGGATTGTTAGAGGTTGTAGTATAATGGGGATTATTATTATAGTATGTGGTATAATGATTCCTAATAATTGTAATAATATTAACTGTACTAATGCTCATAGAGTGCTTACTGTGTAGCAGTAACTTTGACTTTTACTAACTCACCTATGCTTCACAACAACCCTGAGAATGAGGCAGTATAATTATACCCAGGGAATAGGGTTGCCAGATAAAATACGGGATATTGGGCTACATTTGAATTTCAGGGAAACAACAAATTTTCCAACTACTGTGTGAGACATACTATACTAAATAAAATTATATTTGTTGTTTCTATGAAATTCAAATTCAACTGGTTGTCCTGTATACTTATTTGTCAAATGTGACAATCCTAACAGGGAGGTTATATGATATACCCAATGTTAGATATAGTGAACCCCAAGTTTCTGTTTGAAGAATCAGTATGTCAGTTACGTTCAGTTCTCTTATTCTTTAATTCTCCATTTTAAAGTTTGACATCCTTGTCATTTCAGTAAACAACCTTTTCCACCAGTTCTAATCAGTAGTTCACATCTGTTCTCTGTGCCCTCTGCTCTGTCCTGACTCAAGCCGGTCACCTGCTCTGGTCACCTGCTCTGGTCACCGGCTTTGACCCCTGGCTACCTGCTCTGACCTGCCTGTAACTATTCTTCCCACCAGACAACCCACCCCACCCCTCCAGCTCATACCCCTGCTCCCTTTAAAATAGCCATTCAGGATTAGTCTAGACTGTGCAGTTGCCATGTAACCCTAGCCAGCAGGGGAATGACACAGCAGTAGGGGCAATCCTCCATCAGGAATATGTACTCCTTCTCCTGTCTTATCCAGGTGAGTGCTCACCATTGTTCCATCTGTGAGCCGCACCCTTCTATAGAAAATTGCCTTGCTGAGGAAATTTATATTTGAGTGCTACTTCTTTTGCAGCACCAAAAATTTCACTTATAACACCAAGATCACCCAGCTGGAAGAGACAAAGCAGCTGGAAGAGACAGAGCTGGGATTCAAGTAGCCTGTTTCCATAATCTTTATTTTTATCAATTTCAATATCTTGTCTCTCCGATAGAAAACTGTGGACTCCAGCAAGTGGTAAAATAATTGGAGTATGGTTGCCTACCCAGTCCTTGAGGAGAAAAAATGAAAACATTTGAATCTATGAAACATTATAACATGATCATGATAACATGATACTTTTCCACTTTTTCTGTTAAGTACACTTACTTTTTAGAAAGGAACAGCTCAAAGACATCATCATCCCTCTTGTGGCCACATATCTTTAGCTGATCTTCAACTGCCTGATAACATATAATTAATCTGTCAAACTACATTCCAATATACAAAAAAGCTGAGGCATTTGCAGTCAATAACAATAATGTCTACAAGAAGATCAAAAGAAAGGTGAATATGGAGGTAACCATTCTAAACTGATAAATGCTAACACTATAATTATATATTATTTATTCATCTTTGTGGTTGAATTTCATTACCCTCAATCCTGGGCACAGATGTTTAAATAATTTTAATCAGAGAGAGAAAAATATGTATGTGTACATATACACCAAATGCAACTTTTTTATTCTGTATGAGGCAAGGTAATTTGATCTTTAAATAACTATTCTTAAATGTTTCTTTGATCACGAAGAATTAGTGTTTCATAGATTTCCTATATAGAAGTCGCCCAGCATCAGGGTTGGAGGTGGAGGAAGTAGGATAAAATGTACATTATTATAGGACATTCTTTTTTGTGCCTTTCACATTATGCTTGGCACGCCATAAGTTCTCAAAAAATGTAAAATGAATGAATACATGTCATTTTTCTCTGAACAAATGAATAAATACATTTTTCCTTGCTTGGCAAGCAACGGTGCCTTCATTTTTCATGAGTTGCTAACATACTCACGCTGTGAGGATTTTTGGTGGAGAAGCAACTTTTATTCTCATAGGTTTTGTTTTAAAAATAAAAATTTAGCAACAGCTATTTAAATCCTTTGCTTTTCTTCCTTAAAGTCCTTTGCTAAATTATAAAATAACATTAATAGGCCACATGACCTGAAATAATATGAAAAAAGTATGGTCTGTCTATAATTTGTCATGAAAAAGAACAGCTAACAAGACGTGACAAAAGTGAAAAGTATAATCATTGTAATTCTGGAATCTGACAAACATTGTAATTATCAGAGTCAAAACAGTCACCAAATTTTAGCTTGGATTTGCTGTGAATGGTGAGGTTATAACTGAATTATAAATCTTTCTGAGTGATTTATGAAATTTTGACAGTGGTTTTGCTACTTGGTAGAAGACTTTAACAGGAGTTATATTTACTGTAACAAACATATTTACAGAAATGAGGAAGGTAGGTATCCTAGTGATGGAGAGCAGCTGCACATTTATAGTCCCAAACTTCCCTTGACTCCTTGTTAAGCAAGCAGAATCTAGGGGCTTGGAGCATTTATAGGCTCAGGTGTAGGCATTACCATCAGGGTGTTTTGTTACCCAGTTACACAAGCTAAACCTGGGGCTTGGAAAAACCCATTGGATTGGGCTTAGACATTCTCATCTGGGTATATTAACTTAAAGATATCAGCTATCATCCTCTACTATGTACAGTCAGTCACAACTTTGCATAGTGTTTGGGGTGGTTATAGCCTACCTAAAGAAGAATTAAAACGTGGCAGCCATCTATTAAAATTATAAATGTGCTTTTAAATTGATCCAGCCATTCTACCTCCAGGACTCAGAAACACACAGGTGCAAACACACAGGCAAATGTGATTATCACTGCTTATTTCAGCATATATTTTCTGTGGTTGTGAAATAGTCCCCATTAATTAGAATGCATGCTAAATTGACATGTGATGTCACAATGGAATACTGTGAAGTGGTTTAAAAATACAGAGAGGTGGTCTGATGGCTAATTTTATATATAAATTTGACTAGACTAGGGGATGCCCAGATAGCAGGTGAAACATTATTTATGGATGTGTTTCTGAGGACGTGTTTGGAAGAGATTAGCATTAGTATTAGTGGACTTAGTAAAGAAGATCACTCTTGACAATGGGGGGTGGATATCATCCAAGCCGCTGAGGACCCCAATAGAACAGAAAAACAGAGGAATGTGAAGTCATTTTTTCTTCTGGAGCTAGGACATCCATCTTCTGCTTTTAGACATCAGCATTCCTAGTTCTCAGGTCTTTGAGCTTGGACTAAAAGACATTAGTGGCTCTCTCCTGGGCTCCAGATTGCACACAGCAGATTGTGGGACAGCCTCCATAATCAAGTGAGCCAGTTCCTCATAATAAGCATTTTTCTATGTATCTCTATATATCCTATTGTTTTGTTTCTCTGGAGAACTCTAATACAAATGGATATCTAGATATCTAAAGATATCTAAAATATATTTATAAATAGAAAAGTAATTGGCAGTATAATATGTGTAACAATATTTTTGTTAAAAGTTGTATTTATATGTATACAAAATGCACACTCTTCAAATTATTAGCCAAAGTCATCACTTGAGATCATGAGGGACTTTCACTTTCTAGGCAATATATATTTTTAGTGATGTTTTAGTATTTTACAATAAGCACATGAAAGTATGCACATTTTGAAAATTTTAGCCATAGAATGAATATTTAAAGATTTAAATCAAATTTCAAAAAATATGAGGTAAAAGAGAAATGGAATGTATCAGCATAATATGTAAATCACTATCATAATTATTTATACAAGTTTTTATCACAGCATGTTTCTTTCCAATCAGTAATTTTGCATGAATCTGATACAAAATATTAATATCAAAGTGTCAAGAAACATGAAAATGTGCCAGTTCATATTTCAGTGAATCTGTGGTGGAACAATTCCAGTTCCCAGTCAACACGCAGTTTCACTAGTCACATGCCTTCATCTAAAGGAATTTAATTAAGTTTGCCAACTTATAGAGGGACAGTTTGTGGTCTCTTAAAGAATTACTATAGTAACATTAAAAAAAAAAAATCCCCAGTATCTTCAAAGCACAATATAGTGAAGCACAGTAGAATGAAGCATGCCTGTACTGTTAGCTTGGACTTGCTGGAAGATTTCTGGGCACAACTGACAGTCAGGTTGGGCCTTAAGAGTTGAAGTAAAATTAGAAATGGGATGTTGGTGGAAGAGGAGACTAAATGCACAAAACAGAAGAAGCAGAAGAATGTGTAAGGTATATGGGGCTGTACAGCCTTAGGTTGAAGTAAAAGGCATGTAGGAGCCAATTGTGAGAAATAAATTAAGAAAGGTGGGTTGGACTCATATTATTTATGCCAACTTTGAAATTTAGGATCAGAAGTGTGTACTTAATCAGTGCTCAGAGAAAACCTCTTCAGGCCTTGAGAACTCTAACTTAACATCATTTAATTTTAGATGATATATAAACATGTATATGTACATACATATGAATATATATTCCAGGTCACTATATGGTAAAATTCATGTAAGAAAGTTTAATTCGGATTTTTTCCCAGGATAACGATAGCAACACTTTTATACAATATCGAATATCAAGTTATTTCACAAACATGTTTCCTCCTCTATTGGTGCCCTTGGTTTGTTCAATCATGTAACACATGTGTGGTTCAGCATTGTGCTCACTTCTGGGGCAATAGGAAGATATTACTGGGTTTTGATCTTGAAAAAACGTGAGAAAGCTAGGCATCAGGAGGATGACTCTAGCAGTGACGTGTATGGGGTCCTGGGGTAGAGTGCGAACTGTAGACAGGAAGCAAGACTGCCTCTGGAAAATGAAGTCCACCAGCTAATGAGCCTGCCCCAGGGTGGGGGCAAGTGTGAATGAGCAATGAACAGATATGACATGGGGCATGTTTAAGGAGAATGAATGGGAACTGGCAAGTAAATGGAGGCAGAGACTTAGCAGGAGGGAAGTCACAGGTGATGATGATGATGATGTGGCAACTTGATGATCAGAAAGGTGACTAGGAGGGAAGACAGATGCAGCTGAGAAATGCTGAGATTGAGGCCCTGGTGGAACATACAGGTCAAGGCACCCACCAGAAAGCTGCAAATGCAAATGTGGAGCTCATCAGAAATCTCATCACGGCAGCTGTGCAGATCTGATGAATCAGTTAACCAGAGGAGAGTGGGTCTAAGGAAGATTATGATGAAGTGTCTACATGGAGAGAAAGGAGAGGGAAGCATGTTGGAAAGGAGACAGAGGAGGAGGGTTGTCAAGTGAGGTGGAGGAACAAAAGGACAGTGGAGGCAGAGGGGCATTTGAAGAAGGTATATTTTCGATCTACAGCACTATATTGGCAGGTGAAGGATCTCACTCAGAAAAGGCACTGAATTTGGAGGGAAATTTCAATAGCCTGAAGAGGGGGAAAAGTCAGATTTCAAATTAATTGGCTAACATGAAAGGAAAATAAAAAGAGTTCATCACAAAATTGGGATGTGAACAGTTCTAGTGTGGGGAGAACAGCAGCTGCTTCCTTCACCACCCAATGCCTGAGGATCTAGAAGCAAAGGCAAAAAAAGTTTGAAAATGGTAGGATTATTAAATCCTAGAAGAATAAGGTCAGTATTAAAACCTACAGAAGAAAATGTCTTCTCTGATGATAAATTCTTATTCCTCCATGCAACACGCAGGCACATGTTAGCACTTAGTGTGAGGAGCTTTCAATTCATCACAGAACTCTCAGGTTCGTTTAATAAACGCCCCCACCCCCACACCACCACTTTGCAGATGAGTCAGAGAACTCCAGAAAACCTTGGTAGCTTGCTAGGTCTTACCTGTCACAATTCTGAGATTTTTTTTTCCCACCCAAATATTCTTTTAATCATTACCTTAGCGGCTCTCAACTCTGCTTGTAGGGTTCATCAAGTAGTGTTTCTCTTCAAGGTGTCAATTACACTTGCTGGGGACAATATATCAGGGATACACACACACACACACACACACACACGTTGGAGAATTAGGACTGCAAAATTTACTTAATCTCCATTTCACTTAATCTCCAAAACACCATAATTATATATGCAGCAGATGTTGAGTTGCAAAAGGTCAATGCGAGCCTATTACTGTGGATGGGGAAGTCCTCAAACCCCACCCAGGAGAACAGACACTTCCAGCCCAGGCGGTGCAGAGTGGGGTTTGCCACCGCTCATTGCTGTTCACATCCTAATTTTGTGCTGGACTCTTTGTTTTCCATTTATGTTAACCAACTAATTTGAAATCTGGCCTATCTCCATCTTCATGCTACTGAAATTCCTCTCCAAATTCAGTACCTGTCTGGAGTCTTCAGAAGGAGTTGGGGCCCTGGGGCAGGGGGCCTGAGGGGCTGGTGGCCTGGGAATGCAGGTGCCGCTTACCCGGCTACTGCTCTGTAGGGCCGTTTCGGACGCTCTCCGTAGGCTCCAGCATCGGAAGGCACGGGGCACCGGGATCTGGTCCCAGGACATCAGCACACATGGGCAGCCAGCGGCAGCGTAATTAATCCGGCCGCTCCCGCCTGTGACACGGAAGAGAGACTTGGCTTGGCGCGCAGCTCATTTTTGGGTTACCAGCAGTTACTGCATTCTCGTTGACTGAAAGCCAATCCACAATGGGGAATATTTGAAGCCAAACACTGACTTCTGTGACGTTTGCGCGTATGGCCCTGCAGCACCCACGCTTCTGCCTTGGACACACACATGTTACCCCTGCGCGCGGTGGATGCCAGGAAGAGGAGGATCAGCTACGTCCGAGGCCAGGAGGAGGTCAGAGCGCCTCAACCGCAGTCACCCAGTAATCATCGCTTTGATTCAAGATTTGAATATCAGAAAATTTCGGTTTCTGAAAATTAGATGTGTGTGAGGACCACTGGTCTTATGTTCTGGGTGGGGGGTCGAGGAGGTGCCCTGCAGAGTCTCCGTGGAACTTGAAGCAAAAGGATAAAAGCCAGTACTACTTATCATGTCTCTATTTAAAAGTTTGACATTTTGTTCATCATGTGTGTTATTTGCATACATTTTGATTTTTTAAAAAATATTGCATCAAGATATTTATTTTGATGCCAGGCATGGTGGCTCACTCCTGTAATCCCAGCACTTTGGGAGGCCAAGGCAGACAGATCACAAGGTCAGAAGATGGAGGCCATCCAGGCCAACATGGTGAAACCCTATCTCTACTAAAAATACTAAATATACAAAATACTAATAATACAAAAATTAGCTGGGTGTGGTCACACACTTGTAATCCCAGCTACTTGGGAGGCTGAGGCAGGGGAATCACTTGAACCCAGGAGGCAGGGGTTGCAGTAAGCTGACTCTGTCTCAAAAAAAAAAAAAAAAAAAGAGATAAACTATTGTTTAAGTAGTTTCTATCCTAGAAATAAAACTCAAATGTGAGAAATAGTCCACTGAGAAGGCATATATAATAATTTATTGGCCCATTTTTGCTGTCAATATGTGTTATAGCATTTCAAATATTATTCATGAATATGCTACATAAAAAAATTAAAATGTACAATACTTGTTCAGTTTTCTACATTACACAAATGTGACTTTATAATCATATGCAAAATAGTTTTAAAGAGCATCTTGCAGATGTAAACTAGTCATCAGTTAATTAATCACATTTAAAATGTTTTTCCTTTATTTTTAGCATTTCACCTTATATTAAAAAGGTAATTTTAAAAAACCCTATTCTTGGGAAAGGAACTCAAGACTCATTTATCATAAGGTCTTAACATGTTCCTTCTTCAGGAAAAAATTAACAGATCACAAAGGCTAAAATAAAGCAAATTTAATTATGGAATGTCAAGGATGGAGGTTAATGAAGGCATTTTTTTCGATAAAGCCTCCTTCTCAGCCATTCTCACATTGGTGACATGAAATTTTTACAAAAGAATTATTCCTAGTAGAGTGAGCAGAGAAAATTTTACTTCCATGGAGTAGGATTATAGCCTGAGGAATCCAGCCTGAAATTTTTAAAATTCATGTAAAATATGCATTCTTCTTTACAATCAATCTTGTTTTAATATAAAAATAAAGTGGTTCCCCTAACTCTCCTCAAATCTTTGTGTAATATTTACACTGAAGCAAGACACCCTGTGTTTATCCTGTGGCTTTACCTCCCTGGCTTGCTGCCATTGCCTGCAGGGGTACGCATACCCCAGTTTGAAAGCTCTATAATATCATGTATGTGGATTTGGATGAGAAGAAAGAATCCTCTGCTCCAAGTCCGGGCATGTGGGATTTAGTCTCAGCTCTGACATTAACTAGTTGTTGGCCACCTTCAAATCACTTAATGTCTTTGGGCCTCAATTGCTTCAATAGTAAAAGCTGGAAGTTCAGTTCAAAAAAATCTTTTATTTAATTAACTCTCCTATACAGGTAGTGTGTATTGTTTACAAAGTAAAAGATTCTTCTATTGGTATTGAACAGGTATTTAAGAATAAATTTTCCGTAAAAAATTAGTGAGAAAAAAATATGCATGTGATGGCTATCATTAAAGCTACATAATTTAAAAATATTCTTTATATAATTTTTTCTTGAATAATTCCTGTTATCAATCTAGATATTGTTTTTCTGAGTAAAAAACACGTATTAAATAAAATGATCATTATCACTCATTTTCTACTGTGTAAAATGAGCATAGAATAAACAATATATTGGCCACAATCAATATATATATTCTTATATCACGTGTATAAAAAGATATATCTGGCCAGGCACAGTGGCTCATGCCTATAATTTCAGCACTTTGGAAGCCAGGGCGGGAGAATCACTTGAGGACAGGAGATCAAGGTTGTGGTGAGCTATGATCATGCACTTTACTCCAGCTTGGGCAACAAAGCAAGACCCTGTCTCTAAGAAAAAAATTAATAAAAATATTCAAAATTAATAAAAACATGTTTTTATGATATTCAATGACCAGGTTATCAAAATTTTCATTGTTGTAAGTTTAGATAAAATAACATCCCATTTTATTTGATAGCTACAATTCTTTTTGTTGTTTATGTAAAATGCAAATAACAATGGAATATTGAGGGAAAATTCTCCAGGAATATCTCCTGTTATTGAGCATAAGCAAAGCCACTAACTGCCTTTGGTAAGGACTACATTTTCAAGGACATTTGTACAGCAAACAGTTTTTGAAGCTACAGTGTCTACCCACGGCCTTGGTAGATATAGTGTCTACCTTCAGAGCAAAGAGTAGGTGTTTTGTTTTTGTTTTTTATACTCAGCAGTATAATAAAGATAATGTCTCCCTTGCTTATTATAAAGGTAAGCTCTGGCAACTTACTGCCTAGTGTAAAAGGTCTGGCTTCCTTAAGTTCAACTTTCCTCTTCTGTAACACAACCCACTCTATGTGCCCATATCATCTGGCCCATTTCACATTGCCCTCTGGAAATTGTAGATAGGAGAACTGGTGGAAATACTAATATTTTGTGTATGCCATTACTGTGAGTAATAAGCTATCCTCTGTCTCAGAAGTATCATTTGCCAGCATCGTGAAACTGTGGTAGGCTAACTTTTGCTTCTGTGTATATAGGTAGATATTAAATGAGATTAAACCATGTAATTTGTTCTTATTTTTCATTTTTCTCTTTACCATCTCATGAACCTCCATCTTTTCAAGTCAGTGTACATAGAATTACAAAATTGAATAGTGGCATTATGTACCATTGTAATGTATCTTGCAGTTTATTTACTTATTACTCCATTGATAAACACTTATGTTGTCCATGTTTTTGCTATGACAAACAATGTTGTAACAGATGTCTTTGCACACCTGGATTACTACTATTCCAGTAGCTGAAATTCCATCATGAGATTATTGGATCATATATGACAATGCCCCTTTCTGGATAGGGTATCTTCCTCTATTCAATATCAATTTTCTTGAACTTTGCAATCTAATTGGAGAAACTTTTAATCTCAATGTTTTGTTTTATATTTATTTGGCACAGTTTACTATCTTTCCAAAAGCTTATTGGTCATTTGTACTTTTTTATGTGAATTGTCTTTTCATATTCATTGCTTAGCTTTTAACCTCCAAATGCCAATGAATAAAGCTCTGCAAGCTGGATTTATAAAGTGTTTGCCATTTATTTCTTGAAGTCACCAATGAGTGGCCTCAAGTCATCTTGCAGCAACCTGCAAAGCTGTCTTCTCTTGCCCTTCTCTTCCTGGCTAATGCCTGCTGCCCTTCAGAGTATTGAAATAAACTTCATTTCTCTAACCCCAAGTGCCCTTTGCTAGCCTCTAGGGTCCATGCCCTGGATGCTATGACCCGATGTTCTAAGTATCAACTTTTTTTTTTTTTTTTGAGTTATTAGAGTGGTGATGGGTTGTGAGCTGATAGGAGAAGCACTGTCTTTACTCCAAACCCATGCGACACTTTGCCATCAAAGTTCTGAAGAAACACAGCTTACATGCAGTTTTTTTCTTAAGCTCTTTCAGGAAAGCAGCCACTTCCATTTCTTCCATATGCACCTCATCTCTTTCAAAATTTGTGCACAATCTCTCAAATATCTACCTTTATAGGAACAGAAACTGGTTCAGATTTGTAAACATTCCTTCACTGGCTGGAAAAGCTAGATGCCTGTAGACACAACTTCAGCTTAACTAAAATAATAACAATAATAATAATTTTTAATTCCAAACCAGGACAGTTTCAGTGTGATTTCACATTTTCTCCCAAGAATAATGGGTCTCCATGTCTAAGCTCTGTCCATCCTCATAAACAGCCACCCTTTGCTTATCCTTTGGGTCTAGGGGAGCACATGCCTGTCATTTCAGGGCCCTAGGTAAAGAGTGTGAAAAAGATGAGGAGGTAAAATCTCCAGTAAGCACTGCTTCTCCTCCAGTGAGGAGGTCCAAAGCAGCCTTTCTAAATCATGGAGCCAGGGACAAAGTAGTCTAGCCTGAAATTAGAGATGGAACAGAATGGAAAAGTCCAATAACTTATAGAAGTTAACTTCCATTATGCCTGAAGCCACTGAAGTTACTAACCCTTTCCTCACTTCACTTAATTTAGACTTGGTGATCATTATTGAAAATTATTCTCTAACAAAATAAACTAACAGAGAAGTCTTGTGAATGTTAGCAGGAATGCCACATATTATCACACATATGATATGAGAGGCAGGCATTCGAAGCATAAATACTCTAGAAATATATAGATATACACATGCATAAATATATATGTGTATGTGCACACATGTGCATGTGTGTATTTAAATATGAGTGTATGAGTAGGTATACATATACACGATCATATACATGTACATGCATACATGCATGCATGTGCATGTGTGCACAACCTCTGCAATACTCTCAGTAACCTCTGCCTCCTGGTTTTCACATTCCTGTGTGATCCCTTCGTCTTGCATGTAGGCTGGATTTGTGGACTCACTTCTAATGAACAGAATACAAAGGATAGGATATCACTTCCGAGATTAGGTGACAAAAAGACTGTGGTTTCTATCTTGAGCACCTCTCTCTTTCTCTCTCTCTCTCTCT